GCTATTCCTGTGCAAACTACTCAAGGGACCCTAAACAGTTCCTTATGGCTCCAAGGAGTTGTGCTCGTCCATGCCTTGTATCATTGTTTAGGTTAATCATTCAGACTAGGACTCTCCTTCCCTCCCCTTCTCTGCTGGACAAACTAGACATTCAAAGCAAATTGAAATGTCCGCCCCTCTGCAGAGTCTTTTTCAAATCCTTCCTCTACACTTTATACGTACCTATATTCTAGACGATATTATGATTATCATACTTATTTGCCTGTTTTTCTGCCTGTTTTCTGAAAGCTTGTGGAGGGCAGGGCACTGATTTATTCATCTTTTTATCCTCTGGCCAAGAACAGGGACCGTTTTGGCATAGACTTTCAATAAATGTTCTTCCTTTTTTTGAGTTATATGGTCATGAAAAAGATATTCTCTTACTCTTTCTCCAGTAAAAGTAGTTTTAAGAGGTCAAGACTGCCATAGTTTAAAAGGGCTGTAACTGCATTGCCTTTAGCTAGAGGCAGTTTGAGGATAAAATCTTTTATGGTGGCCAGTGACTTCGTATTTTGTAACTCTTCAACTGTCCTGGCATATTACTTGCAGAAAGCAGTCCAGAGGTACATATTAAATCTCATCTCTGCTGTCAGGCAGTCCCACAGACAAGCAAAAATTCCAGCATGAATTTATGACTCTTAAAAATATCAAAGTGGCTCAGAGACTCTAGTTCCTAAAAACGATTGAAAAAGCTACATTTTTAGTAACGTCTGCTGGACAAGCATAAAAGGTGAACTTAGTCATCTTTGCTAACTTCTCCGATGAATAATGCACTGTTAAAGCAGAAGTGATTGCCTGTGAATTAAAATAATGCTGATGTGCAATTATCAGCACTTATTTTAAAAGATTAAAATGTTGCTAAAGTAACAGAAATGTTTGTTTAAAGTTTTGTTTCATAGTATATTTCATCTCTTTGATTGGGTCAGAATGATGGGAGGTGGGGATATTAATTTAAATGACTATGCTATCACTAAGCTGAATGGAAAAGGCAGATTCTTATTTTGAAGTGGCATATTTTACGGCATTGCTTTAAAAGTGTTATTGCAATAAACAATGGAAAAGAATCATGTAGCAGATTGAGATTGGAATAGGCAGATTTGGACAACACTAGCAAAGTCTCAGTGCCCCTGAACATTTCTCCCATTTACATAGGCTAGAATCTGGCTAATTCTGTTTGCAGTCCTCATTTAAATAACATATTACTAGAGAAGTAATATATAAAACTAATTCAGACTAAAATATTAGTGACATATGCAGTTTCACTTCCTAATGAAATCAGGCCTCTTGAGGTACTGCATAGCTAAGAATAAAGGACAGACAGAAAGTCCCCAGTAAGATACTGGGCTGTGGTTAAAGTATTTCTCTTTCTGATAGGAGGCAAACAAGAGACCCTTTGAAGCCATACTTATCCTCTCCACTGAAATGCTCTAGGCTAATCTCATTTTAGATGTCACACAGATAAATCAACAACTAAGGAAAGTAGCAGACTTCCGAGCCACCAGGCATTACATTGGAAATGTTCCAACTCAATCGGGCTTCATCCAGCTCTTCTTTCCTAAGCTAGGGGATTGTGAAAAACTCAGATTTATTGGCTTCTTTTCTTAAACCCATACATTAGAACATTAGACAGAGTAGTCAAACCTTTTCCCTTCGAAATGATGCTTACTTAATTCTAAACTCTATTAGGGTAGTAAGTAACTCTGTCTGTTTCAGCTTAACTCTAATACTTAACATAGTTCCAATTATGCTGATGCAGAAGGTGCTCAAGAAATGCTTATGGATAGATGGATAGAAGGAAGGTAGGAAAAATTTTATAGAAATTTTTTTTCCTATTCTAGCTAAATATCCACCCTCTCACCTTTTCACACTTTTGTGCAGCAGAAATGTTGGGAACTAAAGCTCAAAACAGATTTTAAAATATAATAAACAAAATAGTCCATAAAACTACATTACGCTATTATCTACCAGAATCAAACCAAGGCAAAAGGCATGAAAGTGTGGCAAATTCTTTAATTCAGAAATATCTCCAGTCAGAGATTTTGGTCGGATATTTTGACATTTACTTAATTGCAACAGCTCTGTGAAAATAGTGTTAACACAAGTCCCATACATCACGCAGTTTTGAAGACCAAGGCTAAACTTCCAGGGCAGATTCCAAAAGGGTCCAAACTCTCCAGCCAGTGAAATGAAGAACAGGGCAGAGGGAGAAACCACTTATGGAGGCACATTCATTCCTCATCCTCCAGCACCCCTGGGGGTAATAGAATTCTGAAACGTGTGAGCCAAGTGATCACTTCCTCTTGTTTCCAAAAAGGGTGGAAGGAATATAAGACTGAGAAAAATCCCAGAAGAGAAGCCATTGTTGTTGGCCTCCTATTATAGCAGTGATAGATATTTCTGTTTAAATATGAAGGAAAAAATGGAAACTCCCAAACGAAATCTCCTAACAGCATATAGACAGAGTTAAATTATTTAAACTTTTTATGTGTGTGTGGACTCTATATGACTTGTCCGCACCTAGATGCACCTTGCCATGATACTTTTGTCAAGAACCATAAACAAAATTCAAAATTTCCGGTAACATTCCTTTCTATGTTGGATCTTGGAGTAGGTCTTGGGGTGGTAAACTGACACCGCAAGAATAAAAAGGTAAAAAATATATAATCCGAGAAAAGGGGAACATTGAGAGTATTAAGATGTCTAACGTTACTAGGTTCTATTTTTCGCTTTTTTCCAGCTACAGATAGTACTCTGGCCACAGTGAATAAAGCTAAATATTTTATTAGCCCCAAACACAATTAGAGAAGTCAGAGATTAAATGATAGATCATCCTCCGCTTCCGATATCTTCAAATAACAGACCACTTAATGGGTCGATTTAAAGGATTTTAACACATCTAAAGAAACACATTAACATTGGCTACTTTCTCATAAAAAGTTTGTACTCAAAAAAAAGTTTTCACTGCTTCTCATTGTGTTTCACAGTCCTTTCTAATTTCCGCTGGTATAAATCAATTTAGATTTATTAGCTTTGTACAAAAGAACTCTAGTAGGTTTTTAATAATAATTATCATTATCTCTGATTAAAGTTATATTGTTCAGGCCAGATGGAGTCCTTTTCCTGACAGCTAGAATGAGCTTGCATTATGTACTTATAATGGCTTGGATCTAAATAAACAGATGGCAGAGTGACAGGATATTATACACTGGTGATGTCAGCGGCAGAGCTTCACAGACAGAATTGCTTTAAATAAACTCTGTTGTGGCAAGGATCCTGAGCGTTTTAAGAAGGTGACTGGAATTGAGCCTAAGTGTTATGTTAACTTGGAAACAGTCCTGTTCACTTGGAGAAGGCCAGACCATTGGGATGGACTGAGGTTCAGCCTGAGAAAGTGTGATCTGTTCCTTAACTGGGAAGGCATTTCTACGCTTACTTGGGCAGTCTCAGAAGGAGAGAGGGGGGGAAAGTTGCCCAAGTTGTAAGGTCTTCCAACTTGAAAAGTTAAAAACTGTGGGTCAAGGAAAGATGGAAACATTTGATTTAACCTTATTCCATAATTTTTATAGTATAGTTAACTTTGTTAAAATAAGCATCTTGAATAGGCATTTACCCCTTCACAATTAATACTATAAAATTAACAGAGAAGGTTTAATAAATATGTTATAAAAAAGCCTTAGTCTTTCATTGATTTTCATGTCTACTTTTCATTCTAAAAATAAGCCCATTCCATACCCTTGTATGGAATTTAGAGTAAACCTATGAAATTCAGAAGCAAACTTCGAAGAAAGTCATTTATACAATTTCTTCTAGCTAATGTTCTTTTGTCGAGTCCTTATGGGAATTTCTCTGTAGGACAACCATATTTGCTGAGGCAAATACTCGTAGCATAGTCCTTAAGAAGCAAATGTCACTACAGGAAATAAAGGCTAATATTTGAAAATGAAAGTAGTATCAATAAATATGTTAGAAGAAGATATCAAATAATAGAAATTAAGCTTTCGAAAAACTTTAGACATTTTACAAGTTTGAAATTCTTATATAGAGACGTTAGTTCACAAATTGGCCCCTGTTCAAGGAGAGACCAAAGAAACAGGCAGACCATTCCAGATTGCTACATGGCAGGTTTAATAAGCAAGGGAATTTGAGACTTGTTTGGGGCACTGTAAGACCACTAGATTTCCTCATCCACTGGCCAGAATCTTAAGTTTTTATAGAGGCCTTAACTATATTCACTTAGGTGTTCAGTCCAGATGGTCTCAGCAACACCTTACTCTCCCAAGGCTGCATGCTTGAAACAGCTGCTAGTATCGGAGTAGTACGTAGGATGCACATTCCAAAGACTGCGATGGGGTGAGGGTGGGGTGAGGGTGGGGTGAGGATGGGTGGCTGGGGAGGAGCCTCCAATTGCCTGGGTCTAGCTCACAGGTCAGCCGGTGGTCACATCCTCTCAATGACCTTCTGCAACAAATGATAATCTAAATTATGTATGTAACTTTTTGTTCTGATGGTATGCCACGTGTCTGTAAGAATATATTCTTGTTTTCATAGACTTCAACTTCTTAACTATTGACTTAATCCTTAATATCTGTTGGTATTAGTAAACCATGAACTTTTGAAATTATATCAAGTACAATAGATCAAGAGAATAAAAATGTTCAATTGTCAAAGTGAAACTTCATGTAAATATTTACTTCAGACTATCTGGGAAAATCCACAAATTCATTTATTTCCTTTTCTTATAAAATGGTGATAGGATTTTGAATATCAAGAGGTTATATTTTAGCTTCACATGTATTTGACATTCAGATTTTGCTACTTAAGTGGGCATTTTATGAGCTGTGTTTCAACTCTAGTAGGACATAAAAATCCTCATAAAGGAGCAGGGATATTTCCTTTCAGTAGTTATTCCTAGTCAAAGAGTGAGAGATTGTAATGCGCATGTGCTTTTTCCTGTTCTACAGGTGGACGTTGCCATAAGTCCTGTACTGGCCGATGCTGGGGACCCACAGAGAATCATTGCCAGACTTGTAAGTGTTCAACAGGGAGAAAGCGTAGGCATGAAATGGTCAAATTATTTTAATAGTTGGTGCTTTTCACACTCTGCTCATCAGAAACACGAAAATGACCTTTTGCCTCCTGGTAGATTTGCTTCTATCCAAGTAAACTGGCTAATTTCATTGCTTTCATGTGAAACATAATATATAATTGCTTCTTATATTTCTTTCTGGTTTCTTGTTAATGATAACAACATGGATGTGGTGATATTAACTATGAAGTGAAAGTCTGTACATCAGAGGAAGCAGGAAATCCAAATGTATACAAAATGGTAATAACTCAATTTCAGGTTAACTGAATATCTAATTACTTTTCCCAAATACTTAGACAACCACTCATTCCTTAGAAAAAGAGGGAGGAAAAGGCACTATGTACCCATTCTGTTCTAGGTACAGAGATATAAACTATGTGAATTATGGATATAGATTCACTGCTAAATAACAATGTATCTACCCCTCAGTGTATATTGTTTCTTGTATTAGTCATTAAAGTATGAGCTATCATCATAGCTAAGACATTTAAAAACAAAGTATACTGAATATAAAGACAAATATCTCATTTTTTCAAAATTCTTGTAGTCATATGATACTTAAATCAGCACTGAACTTTCGTTAATCTCAAGGATAAATGTTTTTTTTAAAAAGGAAAACAAAATGTTCCACATAAATGGTAAAGACTTCTCTTTCTGCTGCAATAACAGCTGAAATATGTGGAAAACAGTATGGTGGCTATTTGAAATGTATTCCTTTTGTTAGCATAGAAGACGTATAGAAAATATTAAAAATCTGAACATACAAATATTAGGTATTTGGAAACTTGTACTTTTTGATGAAAATTTAGATATTTCTAATTTGCCTCAGTTCATGATATTTGTTAGATTCTGTTCCAATAAAGAAATAAAAAAGTAATTATCGTGAGCCACCAGAGAAAAAAGGTGTAGAAAAAGATGTATTCTCAATAACAAATGATTTCTTAAATTTATTGTTTAAATTTATGGACATTCTCATGTTCAACATTCATAGAATATAAAGTCAATATTTCTTCCCACTTTTGTTCCACCTTTGTCCTTCAGCCACCCACAGGCAACAAACGTTACTTGCTACTTTTGTGTATTCTTCTAGAGACAATTTATGCATACACTAGGAAATATGTATATGTCCCTGTCCGTTTTTCACTCAAATGTTAGTATTCTTTGCATGCATTGATGCACCTTGACTTTTTTTACTCTATGCGTAAGTGCGTGAATTTATTGGTAGTTTTAATTTCTAGAAGCAGTATTTGCAGGGTCAAGGATGTGTGTGTGCAGCTGGATAGAGATCACTACCATGAACATCTTGTTCTCTGTTGAGATTGTAAGAGTTTCCTCTGCCAGGAGCAATGTATGTGAGTGTCCGTTTCCATATTCTCTGGGCAAAGCAGTGTATTATCAAAATTTTGGTTTTTGTCAAAGGGTTAGATGAAACATAGTATCTCAGTGTAGACTTAAATTAATCTATTTAATAGAAATAATGTTTTATGACAGCAATGTTTTGATAAGAATTTTAAGCAAGATTCTAAAGTAAGACTAGATTACTGCGTGAAATACATTAGCTATAAGATTTGTAGACAATGTTTTAATAGCAAGGAAGTTGAAACCAAGCTGCACACAACGGTGGGATAATGTTGATGTGGCCATTTGCACAAAGTTGAATATAAAAGTAAAATATGAAAGAATGGCTTTAATACTTTGTGGTGGAGTGGCAAGTCACCACAGAAATTGTTAACCTGCGCAGAGGTCCACTGGTCCTCTCATGGCAAAGAACTTCTGGGTTCTCAAACTTAAATATGAATTTTTACTCCCTCACCTACTTACTTAGTTATTTTACAGAGTGGCCAGAGCCTTTGGGGCTGGGCTGCTTGTTGTGCTGAGCCCCTCTGGTGTGTCCACTCACCAACGCTGGTCTCCTGGTGGGAGAGGGGCTCAAAGGCTTAGCTAGTGTTGAAGAGGGACACGTGTTAGATTTGGGGGATGACGAGCCTACCTGGGCTGCTTTCTGTTGCTAGTTTACATTTAGGAAATGCTGGTTTGGGTTCCTTTCATCTGTTGGGTAGGGGGACATAAGATGCCTACTACTGTGTCGCTCCTCCAGTTGTGGGTCCGGAACTACTTTGCCTTTGCCTTGACACTTTTGAAAGTTCTCCTTTGCATTATTGCATTTTGCGGTATTTCCATGATATCCCTACTCTTAGCAAAGAAGGGCAGGGAGAAACAGGTCTATGCCATCTTTTCTGGACCTGAATTCCCATATGGTACTTTTAATAATACCAGTGATAAATAAAATCAAATAAAATTACGTTAATTAATTTCATCCTTATCTCATTTTATGTGTATTTTTGTAAAATGCAAAATGTAGTAGTATAGTTAAATGATTCTTTTTTTCTTTCTTTCATTTTTTTTTTAATGCTGAATGATCATTCTCTAACTGATAGCGGGTGTATGAGCCCAAATCATGGAAATCACTGTATTAAGGTCAAATGGGAAAGCACCATTTATGGTTTTCTCCAACTTTGAAAACTAAATTTTCCATCAATACATACGGTGCTCAAAATTCTGAAACTTTTAATTTATGTTAATAGATTTCGTTACACTAGTAAAAATTTACAAAAGTTAGTAAAAAGACATAATTTCTACCAATATTTCTTATTCATATAGTAAACAACTTTGGAGATAATTGCCAAGCAGGCAGCTGTCTTTGGGAAGCACCCGTTCTGGAGGGCGAGTCACTGAAGCCACGTCTGTTCTGGGGACGCTCTACCCTTGGTCACAGGGCGGTATCCCGCAACCAGGGGTGATTTTTGCCCCAAGGGGACATTTGATAATGTATGAACATTTCTGGTTGTCACAAACTGGGAGGGGGAAGCGGTAGGGGGAGCATCTCTTGGGATCTAGCACACAGGGGCAAGGGATGGTGCTAAACATCCTACAACACACAGAACAGCCTCACCCCACCCCCAGCCAAACAAAGAAAAATTATTCGGCACAAAATGTGAACGACATTGAAGGCTGAGAAAGCCTGTAAGAGGAGTAAATGTTGACCCAGGCTGGGCCAATCAGATTCTCCCCGAGAGAATTTGGACTTGGGATCTAGAAATGCTGCTTACACTACCTTAGAAACTTGAACTTGAAGAGATACTAAACCGGGCTGAAGTTTTCCTTTTTGAACCATGTGTGTTAATAAGAAGTAGAGATAACCAGTCCTTCGTGATGCAGAAGGATAAATTAGTCATGCAGAGGCAAATAAGATCCGGAAAGAGAGAAAGAATAGCAGTAACAGTTTTTGACACTGTTTACCTCCTGGTTCTCTGGCCTTCATGAGGTCCAGCTGCACGTCTATCCTTAGATGCTTAAGGAACACAATGTTCTAGTTCATTTAAATGAGTTTTGTTACTTGCCACCAAATGGGAGTGGGAGGGAGTCTTGACTGAGAAAATCATCAAGCCGTAGGTCACGCATCAAATCATCAGCCATAAGTCATTTAATTCGCCTAATTTTTCAGCAGAGAAATTAAGCTTACTGTAATCACCTAGACATGGCGTAATGGTCCTGTGATGACTCCAGAGAGTCGATCAGATTTAAATTTGACAAATATTTATGTGTGTCTCCTACGTGCAAGTACAGATTTTAAAATAGTACTTGTTTGCATGGATCTTTATAGTTTATAAAAGATTTCCATTTTAAAATTTATTTCCACCATATTCCTGTGAGTTAAAGAGGACAGTTATCATTTACCTCAGTTTATAACTGGGGAAATGAAAGATGAGGATGTGATTAAGAGAGTTAAATTTATACAGCTAATGCTTGGGATTTCAACCTAAGTGCCCTGAATCTAAAAGTGACCCTGTTTCCTGTGTGTAATCTTGTGTAGCACAGCTTAGCGGGCAAGGGCAGTGGATTTGAAATCAGCCAGTTGATACACATCCCAGTTGTCTCCACTTTCTATCATGGGAACGTGACTTACTCTTTCTAAATCTCGATTACCATGTCTATAAAATGGAGAGTTACCTCAAAGAGTTGTTGTTTGCGAATCAAATTCAATACAATAATGTAGTTGAAATACATAAACATTTTTTGGCATATCCTAATGACCTAAAAAATAATAGCTAATATTTTAATAAACTAAAGGAGATACTGTTAGAAAACTTAATCCATCTTCAATCTGATTGAATGGCTGTGGAGGTGAAACTCCCATAGGCCAGTTCCACCTTGTGGAGGCTACTTGTATGGATACGGAGCCTCTTACTCTCAAGTCCATGTGCCTGTCTGCAGTAAGCACTGAGACATCAGTGCTTACAGTTGGAGAAAGGTTTATTCTAATTAGCCAAAAGGAGAAGGTGGGAGCACAGGTTCTCTCAAAGCTGCCTTAATAAGAGTAGAAAGCAGGGGCTTTCGTAGAGCTAAACAGTGTGGCAGGAGGAGTTTCAGAGAAACAAAGGGGAAATCGTGTTTCTTTCACTCCAGGTAAGCCCCTGGGTGATCGGACTTCCAGGCATCCACTGCAGCTGAGGGCTGGTTATCTGGTGATTGTAACTTCTGTGAAGGCATTTTCTCTCTTCTGTAAAACAAGCTCATAAATCCTTGTGACCATTGAGTTACCCCTCAGGTTAAACAGGAAAACAACAAATTGGTAAGATTAGCTTCTTTTCCTAACAAGGTGGAAAGTAGTCTTATTGAATATTTACCGTAACTGTCAGTGCCTAGCTTCAATATCCTGGCTGGGGAATAAAAAAGCAGAAGCCCTGGAGTGGAGTGGAGGCTACTTGCCCTTTTTTTTTTTTTTAAGAAAGGTTAGCTCTGAGCTAACTGCTGCCAATCCTCCTCTTTTTACTGAGGAAGACTGGCCCTGAGCTAACATCCGTGCCCATCTTTCTCGACTTCATTTGTGGGACACCTGCCACAGCATGGCTTGCCAACTGGTGCCACGTCCGCACCCAG